AAACTGATGGGAATATCAAAAGCATTCTGGGATATGACATATAGGTTTGCTGTTCTAAGAAAATAGAAGACATGCTCATTTAGGACAAATCCCTTGAACATATCTAAACTAGTTTTGGGTAGAATTCATCAAAGCTATTTTTGTTAACCCCGGGCTGTCTTTGTTAATAACTCCATTTTTCGTATTCTTGTAGTATGCTTCCTGGTATTGTTTTCAGAAACATTCATATCATATATTTGCCCATTCCAAATTCCATTCTGGCAACTTCAAACCAGTTCTTGTACATTTCTATTCCTCTTTCCATACTAGAAAGATATTGTGCACCTTTAAAAAAATATCCTTATAAATCCTGAGCTGACGTATATTGTATCAAATTACTTAAGGATAAAAAATTAAGGCTGTCACATTACTTTGTTTAGCTCTAATGCATTTCCCAGCAAATGCCTATTAAAGGTTTTTATATATGAGAATTTATTTATTTATAATAAATGCCAATGTAATAAATAAATAAGAACAACTTGCTCATTAAGGAGTGTGACATTTGAATATTAGTGAAATTTCTAAGTAGAATACAGCATGTGCTTAATATTTTAATACTTATGACTAGAAAATAAATAAAAAGAATATAGAAAAAAATGGAAAAAATAGGAAATAAGGCTAGAAAAAATAATCTGTCCCTAGATAGTAAAAATCTGTTTTACTACATCTTAGGCACACCAAGAAAATTAACAAACTCACATGTGCAATTTCACTGAATTAAATGCAGGCCTTCTTTTTCAGTAACTGCATTCTATAAAGTGGATCCAAATGTTAAATGCTATACCCCATAGGACATGTGTTTATATAATTAAAAATTGCACTACAGTGAATGGGCAGAACATGGGAAGCTCATTTTAAATGGACATCTTACTCTGATCTTAACTATTGTTTGCACTGTTTTTTCCACACTTTCAATAACTGAGTATGCAAAGTGACATCTTATAAGACTTGGGCACTATTAGGACTCATTCAGTCTCTTGCTACCAGGCCCACAGAAACATTCTAGGAAAGCCTTTGCTGATTTGGTGCCCTCCAGATGTTTTGGATTTCAATTCCCAAAGGCCCAGAGAACAAGGCCAATGGTCAGGAATGCTGGAAGTTGTAGTCCAAAACATTTGGAGATCATCAAATTGGGAAACACTGCTGTACTGTCTAGTGTAGTCTTTCTAAACTTGGTACCATACAGATGTATCACACTAGAACTCCATCTCCAGTCAACATATGTTTTAGTATTACTTCTTTGGCCATGCTACTCAAGGATGGTGAGGTTATATTCCACAGCTCTAGAAGGAACCAGGTAGGTGGACAGTGGTCTAGGGCATAAGGATAGAACACAAGCAGATACTGCATTGGAAGATGACTAAACATTCTAAAAGAACACCTGCTGTGACAGCAAGTACTATCAGGAAATGGCTCCACTGTTATAGGAATTTGAACTTACTCATCACTTAGATACTCTTCCTTGACTATGTCATAAAGTTGTTTAGCTCAAGATGGCATCCAACTGTATTTGTTGCTGCTTATAGCTTGGCAATTCCTTTAATACATAGTTCTGGTATATTAAACTTCTATCCTGCTCTATTTCCTAGTGCTAGCATATGAATAGTAAACACCTATTTGTAGGTTGTTTTTTTTTTCAAATATAGACAGACAATAGGCCAAATCCAGGGATCCTTGCATATTGCATGCACACTGGTGTACATGAGGATCTGTTCTACTGAACAGATATCTGGATATCCAGAGAGGACAGTGAAGCTAGAATCAGTCCCCCTGCAGCCCCAAAGAGGTGATTAGCATAGTTAAGACTGAGAGTTGTTATATTTTTCACCATTGTCACAGTGGTAAGCCATGTGCAAGCAATTGGCTGCTTGATGTGGGTCATTCCTCCCTCCTTGAACATTAGGATATAGACTCATTCCAGAGAACAATTTGTGTTTGAAATAATCTTGATAAACTCAGGATAAAGAGTAGTATCTTATTGTGCTCATGTAGGATTCACTATTTGTGCAATGGAGCTTTTGGTCATTAGGACTAACAGAAGAGTGCTCCACTGATCTTTCCTGGTACAGAAACAACTGTTTCTACTTGGGTCTAGGCTTACTTTTAGAATGCAAAAGCCTGACTGTGCAACCAGTGGGTCCTGCAAGCACAATGAAACCAGCAATGAAGTGACCTAATTTGATACTGTGTTCTGTGCAAGTAGTCCAGATATTGATTTAACTGTAATGAACAGAGCTAGGGCTCTATACTACCAGTATAATAGTAGTCATAGAGAAAATTAATAGAGCTAATGGTGAGCAACATGTAGTTTCATCAAGGACCTAATTGAACAACAACTTTCATGATCAATGCATTGAATTTAAGAATTAATTAGCTACTAACCAACATTCAAGTAGGACACTTGATATACACCATTAGTTAAGCATGTGATTATCCACCTTATTCATCATTCAAATAATTCCTTAAAGATAAGGAATACAGAGTATTTCATTTAATTTATGGATTTACATCTGATAAAATCTGTGTATAATACAATTTTGCATTTTACTGTAATAGATATTATCTGTCAAATTTGGATTAAACATCTTTTAGTATTACTTTTTAAATTTCAAGAGGAGAAAGGAGAGTTGGGGTGAGGGGAACTTCACATACTTCCACTGCAGAATTTCTGCATTTTAAATAGCAGCTTAGAAACATTCAATGGGTTCCTTGCTCCTACGCCTGATTGCCACAAAAACTGAAAAAGGATTCAGGACGGGCGGTTGTCCTTGCTACAGACATGTATCCATTCTATCCATTCATTCACCGTATTGACATGAACCATTAGCTGCTATGTAAGCCACAAAAGCTGGATATGTGTTAATATGTTTGCAGGTCATTTTCCATATATGTTTTAAATTTTCTAGCAACATTCAATATCTTATATAAAGTTGTAATTTATCCTAGGTTTGGAAACAGGATACAGAATACATAGTAATATCTTCAGTGAGTATGTTAATTTGGAAGGCACCACAAGAAGACCTTTTAATGTTAATTATTAATCTAAGGCCAGGATACAGAAAGACCCATGTATGCAGTACTTTTGCATGGAAGTGTGGCTGATTTTTCCTTTTAGTGACAACCTTCCACAGCTTATGGGATGCTGCTTCAAAAGGCCCCTGTCCTGAAGTGGTGTGCTAGAAGATTCTAGCTGATGATGCTGCCTGAAGGGGTGAACTGAAAGGCTCCATATATACTCAGCATTTTGTACTGCAGCCTAAATTAAAACAACATTCAACTACTCTTGCCTCCACTTTCAAATCTTTTCACTTTCTCATACCAACATATTTAGACCATAACAAGGAATGGGTTTTTGTTTTTGTTTTGCTAGTATATAATTATTTCATTTGCTATATGCAGTGCATACATTTTTAGGAAGGCCAAACTGCAGGTACCAAGATAGTATTGTTATACCAGAGTTTGAAGAAATAGTTGCTGCAAATAGACAGAATTAGCTGGCAGGGACACCCTTTCCCTCACATCCTTTGTTCAAACACAGGGGACACAGACCAATGTATAGTACAGATAACTAGATCCAGGGAGAGTTTTTCAGGAGTTACCCACAGACTAACTCTGGATCCAGTGCTATCAATACAAAACGAAGTGTTGACTTAAATTCATGATGATGCAGTCTTACATATCTGTACTCGATATGTACAGAACTTCCATATTGCTCTAAACACAATGCTTCCCAATGGAGTCCATTCACATTGGGAGCAGTATGCTAATCACAACAGACATTTAAGCTACATGGAACATGCAAAATACATATTAAATTTTACATGATATATGTTATTGATGGATAAGTTTACTCATATTGGTAACAATAGTTATGGTTAAATATTTAAAGAATAATTCTAATTTATTGAACTCCTATTCAAATACTGTTATCATGGAAATGAAGCAGTCTGTATGTATATTGCTTGTCCTTCTTTCAGGTATATTTTTATATTATGTTCAGGAACCAACAAAAAGTATGTTAAAATGTCTACACTTTATAGATAGCTATCAATGATGGCTATTTCATTTGGTATTGGGTTTGTGTTAAAAAGGCACAAAACAGCATCTAAAGGTAATCCAAATTCAATCACAGTTAGAATTAAGGTTGGGATGAACTCTTGGAATCCATTTCTCTAGTCCCAGTCCTGCAAACCAAGCTGAACCAAGAGAAAATCCAGGGTTGCTTGTGGACTCCTGGCTGTATAACTGGCAACCTTTCTTGTCAGGTGCATCTGTCCAAAGAGTGGCTGCAGGATAGGGAAGAGGGGCACTGTTAGCAGTCATGCCAGATACCATTCCTGGCAACCAACCTTCTTCCACACCTGGTACAGCCAGTGGTGGTAGTGCTAGGCATGGAAGAGGGGTAGTGCTAGCAGTTATGCCAGGTGCCATTTCCAGTGACCCCAGAAAACAACCTTTTCCCCAGCCAATGGTGGAAGTGCCAAGAGCAGAAGAGGAGCACTGCTAGTGCTTGTGTCAGGTACAATTCCTGGCAACCCCAGTGACCAAGCTTTTTCCATTTCTGGTACAGCCAGCAGCAGCATTGGGAATGGAAGAGGAGTGATGCTTACACAGTGCATGGGGTTGAATTCCCCCCCCCCCCCGAGAGTGCTCCCAAGGAACTTGGATGCAGGACTGCTACAAAGCAGACCAGATTCTAGGGAGTCAAGGCAGCACGAGCAAACAATTCCATGCACACCCCTACTGAAAAAGACCCTCTGAATAGACCCTTTGAAATCAATGGGCCTTAAATTATTCTCGATTACCTTAAGACTAATATATTTCAATGAATTTACTTTGACTATGACTAAAACTAGATCAAACATGTTCATTTTAGTCCTGATTTGTTGAAAGTTCATAAACTACAACAACTTGGAAGAAGTGTTTAAAAGATTGATTCTGGCACACTGCACCACTATTACCTCAATGATATAAAGGACGATATTCTTGTAGAAGCAGTATAAGATGCACTTAGCAATTCTGCTATAATTCCAGGCACCATGGACCAAGAGCAAGTTCTTCAAGTACTTGAACTATGAATGATAAAAAAAGGCTTAGATATATATGTGTGGTGCTTAATTAACAGCTTATCACTTTAAAAGGGTACAGAACCCCTTTCAGCCTGAGGGCCAATTTCCATGTCAGAGAAGTTTTTGAAGGCTGTATTCTATTGGTAGGTATGGATTAAGACAAAAGGGTAGGGTACCAACATAATTTACCTTAACAGATTTCTTGTCAGTAATGAAGCCTCAGGAAAGGCATTTCAACCTTTTATAATTGGGGAAAAACTGTGCCAAAGTCAGGAAGCTGCCAAATGAAAGGGGGAAATGGGGTATGGCTATCTGGAGAACCACACAGAACCAGGATGATATCTCTGAAGGGCTGGATTTGGCTCTTGGGCCAAACGGTTCTGCTCCTCTCACTTAAAAGGACTGTGCTTTATATTCTGTATCAATGCACATATTTACCTGAGCTATTGAATAATCTGACGAATTAGCTGCTTGTAGCCCTTCATTTCCACTAATACCAACACCAACGTGTGCTGTCTGTATCATGCTCACATCATTTGCTCCATCACCAATTGCTAGCGTTACAACTTTTACTTGCTTCTTAACCATTTCTACAACCTCAGATTTCTGAAGAGGTGAAACCCTATAAAAATGAAAAACATTTTGAGAATGACATCACACTATTTTTCTTAAAAGAAAGCAAAATAAAATAAAAATAAAAATTGAGAATTTCACAAACTTCTGAAATCCTAATGTTTGGAAGGTCCTTCTAAATGCTGTAGTGGAGGGATTATGAATGTATGATCCCCTAAATGTTGGTGAAGTGCAACTTCCATCAGTCCTACCAACATAGCCAGTGGAGACAGATGACCAGACTTAGTCCAGTAACGTCTGGTGGGCCCACATTCCTTATTCCTGTGCTTTGGTGGAACAGAAATGGTGCATGAGCTTTCCCACCCTTAGATGAGGAAGGAAATATGCATGTGGGATATGCATGCTTATTTATAAACTCATCAGTTTTCAGCATACACTGAGAGCCATTTCTAGCAAAGGAGGGCAAAACAATGTTGCCCTGTAGAAGACCTTTCAATCCTTAAGCCACAGTTGTTTATATCTTGGGAATGCTTTGTTTTTCTTTGATATAAAGCAAATAAATAAATACAGAACAAGCAACACAAAAACAAACAAAAACAAAAAAGATACAAAAAAAAAATGGGTTAGGCCAAGAACTTTTCATCCCCTCCCCTCCCGCCCTGGTATATACATTTCATGCATATTCCTTACTATCATACAAATCCACATACATATGGGAATTTTTAAAAAGTTGCAGCTGTTTGTGAGTGCAGCTGTTTATGAGTATTTTGTACTGAAGAAGACAAAGCATTACCTGCAACAAATAACAGCTTTACATGACAGAGCCAAATCCAGAAAATATTGCCTTACACCAAAAGTCAAGGCATACTTCAGTGTTTTGCCATCGATAATAAGAGCAAAATCATTTTCTTTCCTCAAAGCATCTCCTAGGGTGCTGCAATGATGGCTTAATGTCTCTCGTGTTGCCTGTAAGGTATCACCACCAAAAATAAACATTACTTCAGTTCTGTTGAATAGTTTTATACTTCTTCTGATGTGCACATATTTATTTAGGAGTTTTCTATCCTGCCTTATTAGCATAGCTATTACAGCAGTTAAAACACAATTTAAACAATATTATGAAACATTTTAAAAAACAATAATTGTGATTACCTTAGAACATAAAAATTAAGTATATTTTGGAAAAAGTTAATTTTAAAAAACCTTTTAGAAACAATGCATTAAGAAAAGAATAGTCAAAGCTGGGGCTTGCATGCCTTTTTTCTGTTAAACTTGCATAGAATTAAACCTTTATGTTGTAATTTCATACCCATTTTCTTGAACTTAAGTTCCAGTGAACACAACTGACTTCCTTCTAAGTGAATATGTATAGGACTGCACTATTGGAATGGAATCTAATACATTCCTACTGAAGAAGCATGCCATATAGTTTAGATATACTTGCTCTCAGCTAGCAACAGGACTGTAACATTAAGAGTACAATAGTACCTCAGCTCACAAACACCTCGGTTCACAACCAAATCAGAACAGAACAGAATTTTGATAAAAAAATTGCTGCAGGTTGCAACCTCTGCATCAGGTGACAATCATGAGCACGCCCGCCTTCCCTGCACGGGTGTGATCGTGGTCGTGCTGAGGGGGAGATGGCTGTGTTTGTGCTGGGGGGGGAGATGGCCACGATTGTTCCCATGTTCTCTGCCCAAGTGTGCCTGCGCCCATCTCCCCCCCAGCGCGCCCATGATCGCACCCGTCTCCCCCCACCCTCTGCATGATTGCTGGGGTGGGGGGGAAGGTTGAGATGGCCACGATCTTTGTTGTTCTTTGTCACTTTGCTTCAAATTTTTGTGAGTAAAAAAATAGTTGCAGAACGGATTAACCTTATTTACATTGACCTTATGGGGAAATTTGACTTGGCTCACAACCAATTTGGGTCATGACCAGAGTCCTAGAATGGATTAAGTTTGTGAGCCAAGGTACCACTGTAAATTAATTCATGCTGGTTAATAAAGGCAGGTTGCTTACCTGTGTGGTCAACTGCATTCACGCATATGGACTCTGTGCCTGTGTGGAACCTGTTGTCAGGAAGATTCAGTAGTTATGAGCATTTTGGTGGAAACCCCTCCTGCACCCTGGCATCCATATAAAAGGAAGGAACTCTCACCATTTCCCTCAGTTCCAAATGAGACCACTTGGTGGCCTTGGGATTGAGGAAAGGCTCGGTGGTGTAACCTCACATTCAGTGAAGCGGTACAGTAAAGGGTACTGACAGACACATAAGCACAGACTGCTGAGTTGTTCAGGACACCCTGTGGGGTAGGTGAGTGGGTTGTGTGAATGCACAGATGACCACTTGAAGAATGACAGTTACAGGAAAGCAACCTGGCTTTCTTTTCATGGCCTCTGTGCATCACACATATGGACAACTGGCAAGCTTACCCATTTTTGCATGGTGGGTTGGTGTCACCATTAGAGTATTGGTAAGAGGGCTATTTCCAAAATGTGCAATCAGTCGAGAATTGAATGTCAAGTGCTTGGTGAAGGTGCATGGTATCAACCAGGTTGCTGTTTTACACAGCTGTGGTAGAGGGATACATGCATGCAATGCTGTCAAAATTGCCATTGCTTAAGTTAGGTGCACTTTTGGCTGGCTGCACTGGGAGTTGCAGTCCCAACAGTTCATGGGCTGATGAAATTGTTTGTACCACTCAGTCTAAAAGTCTTCATGGTGAAAGGGGCTGCACCTTTGCTTTGCCTGCATAAGAAACTAAAAGTTGGGAGTTGGGGGCATCTGACTAAAGGTTTCTGTCCTAGCATGATAGAATATCAGCGCTCTATGCAGCATAGAAGCCACTGGGCTAGATGGAGATGGAAAAAAGGCTGGCAAAATACTCTGTTAGTTCAAATGAAAGGAGGATCCAATATTTTGGAGGAAGGAAGGATCTGGATAGAACAATACCGTGGAAGACAAGGCATGGAAAATCTATCTGCAGTGCACAGAGTTTGCTGGAGGGTTAGGTAGATGTAATCACCACCAGGAACGCCACCTTCCACAACAAAAGATGAAGATTGTCACCGGGGGTTCAAATGGTTTCCTCTTCAGAGTTTGCAAGACAGCCAACAAGCTTCAAGATCATGTCAGCGTAGGTGGAAGAATGCTCTTTAGTCCCTTCAGGAAGTGCCTACTTGTTGGATGTGAATAAGCTAGTAAACCCTGGATCATGTCATGGAAGGGGGAAATAGCCACTAGGTAAATTCTGACAAACAATGCCTTCAATTTGCACTGAAACAGGATTTGTTTGATTGTACAGCTCTTGGGATCAAAACCTTCGTTGTTGGCAAAGAAGGAAAAAGTCTTCCACTATGCTGAATAATATTTCCTGGTCATTGGTATCAAGGCTGCTTCTTGGCCAGAATTCAATTCAAGGCTCCCTATCCGAACAAGGAGGCATCTGTCATAACCATAAATGATGACTTGGAACTGAGAAACAGCATTTCCTTGGAAAGCCTGACATACTGGGTCTACCAGGTGAGGCTGGAACAGACTGTCGTAGGCATCTGTAGTCATTTTCGTGGGTGGATGACCATGGGATCGAAGCTATGGACAAAGCACAGCTGAAGTGATTGTGACCAGAGCCTGGCCAGGAGAACTACCAAGACAGTCAACACCATGAGTCTGAGAGACTGTTGAATCTGGAGGACTGATGCTTCATGCTGTTGGTGGTGCTTGGAGGCCAACTTGACCAATCCTGCTGCTCTGAGTCCTTTTGCTGCTTGGTGGAGTCTATGCATGCTCCAATGAAGAGAATAGACTGAGAAGGGAAGAGAATAGACTGAGAAGGGGAGAGAACAGACTTTTCAACATTCAGGCAAAGACCCAGTCTACCCAACAATGTACATGTGGTGTGGAATGTCTGAAGCAATTCTGATCTGGTTGAGGCCATCAACAATCAGACATCCAGGTACAGCTATACCTGGGACCCCTGTAGATGTAGGTAAACATATATGATGGACATATATTTCATTAAAAACACTGGGGGCAGTCAAAAGTCCATGGGTAAATCTAAAAACTGGAATATCTCTCTCCCAACTTGAAAATGGAGAAAATATCTGTAGTATGGTGCTATTGAAAAAGGCCTTCTTGAGATCAATGGATGCAAAACAGTCCTCCTGTTGGAGTAGAGGTAGAATGCCTTGGAGAGTAACAATCTGGAACTTTCTAGGCAAGACAAAATAATTAAATTCCCTCAGGTCCAGGAGCGGTCAAAGCCCTCCATCCCACTTGAGTACCATAAAACAGCATGAGAAGAACCTATGCAGTGTAATCTACTCAGCTACCTTCTCTGATAGGAGACATGGAGAGAGGGATCAGAGGTGGAGGAGGGGATCTTACATTCTTGGTACTGATGGGATGAAGGGCATTGAATTCCATTCTGTAATCCTTCCAGATGATTCATAGCACCCAAGTTTCTGAGGTAATCAGTTGCCTGGCAGGCATGTCCAGAGAAAGATGGTCCTTAAAATCCAAAGAGATGGTGGTTGATGCAATTGTAGCTGCTCAGCAAAATGCCCTCACCACCCAAAGACACTGGGACAGTACACTGATCCATAACAATAGTAGCAGTAGCAGCCTCATGTGTTGAAGAAACCCCAATAGGTTGTGGAGCTGCTGAGACTGACCTTCTGTCTCAGTCTAAGATTGGGAAATAAGGGCTTTCATTGTGGCTACTGGTACCAAGTGACTTTGGTGGGCTGTAGATAGTACAGTTGGTGCCCTCGAAACCATGGCTGGTGAAGGGGCACAAGAAGGATGGAGTGTGTCGGATCTCCCCCTCCAACAGTGAGTCCAAGACAGATTCAAGCCTTGGTGCCAATATGATGACGTCCTGCATGGTCAGTTATGAGGTGTTCAGTACTAGCCAAAAGTCCATCCAGCATTACCTTGTCAGCTGGAACAAAGGAGGTCTTTGTTCTCACTTCTTTGAACCACCTGGCCAACTTTTTTGCCTTCTTAAGTTTTGCTGACTTCCTTGGAATCAGAGGCAGCAATGGAGCCACGGAGCCACAGATGGGGCAGTGGCTGAAGGTATGGACCTCTGCAAAGTAGTGGAAGCTACCACAGGTGGGCAAGATAGCTCAGGCATACCCATGGTGTCAATCATGCAGAGGGCTTTCTGCCAAAGCTCCATGAGGAGAGAATCTGATTGATGCTTATGAGTTTCTTAGATGCCCAGCAATTGGGGCATTGGTCCATCATGTGCCCTTCACCCAGGCATAGTACACCAGCAGTTGGGAGCAGCTTATTTCTACACTGCATACATTTGCAGAATGGTGCTTTTGATGTCATTGGAGAATTGAGGAAGGAGAAAAGAGGGAAAAAATGAGAAGGTAGATTAGAGAGAGAATATGAAAAGGCTTTCTTTTCTTTTTTGGTCTAGATGTTTTTCAGGAAGGTCAGAAAGTGAGCTCTTAAGGAAGAGTTCATGAGGGATCTGAGAAAAAATGGGCGTAAGAGAGAAATATGCTAAGAAATATTTAAAAAAGCAGGTAAAGGAAAACAAAACAGTGAAAAAGAGAAAAAGAACTTCCCAGGGCACTGAAGCTTGTTGAAGAGCAAGTGAGGAAAATGACAGAAGTTCCTCCCTTTTCTATGAACACTAGGATGAGAGGAGGGTTTCCATCAAAATGCTCTAGTTATTGAATATTCCCAGCATACGGTGCCATGCAGGCACAGAGCTCATACATGTGATTCATGGAGACCATGGGCAAGAACAGTAGATGCTAAAAAATTCCTCATTTTTAATTTTTCATTTAAGACATGCTTAATGTTTTCTATGTCCAGATTATACACTTCTTTTTAAGGCTTTAGGTACACATGACATTTATCATGTATTGTTTTGTCCCCAGCATTCCAATTTTTGAACCTAAAGCAATGCCAAAGCTTTTGTTTCTAATGGGACATAGGAATGTGTGTATATTTAAGCAAAATACTATTTGGAGTTGCCATTAAAAAATAACAATGACAAACAAAAAAGAGAATTTAACTCTGTTAACAGAAGATAGCCATGTTTTTCTTTCAGTGTGTTTTATCCTTAATACCATCTCTAATTTCCTAGACTTTGCCATATCAGATCTTATTTGTCAACTGGGTTTGACAAATATCAGTGCTTTTTTTGTAAAAAAAAAAAAAGGTACTAGAACTCACGTCTTGGGGTCACACTTTTACACAATGGTTGCTGCCGGCTGAGTCAGCGCGCGACCACACGACTGGTCCCAAGCCGCATCGACAATCAGCGCGGACACACAAACAGCCTGCAGGCACTATGTTAATGATTTCTGCCGCAGATCTGCTACGCCCAACAGGGTGATTCACAATCACTTGGAAAAATCCGTCAAAAAAAAGTGCCGGAAATGCTGTTCTGGTGTGTTCTATGACAAAAAAAGCCCTGCCTAATATTCATTGTACTTCTATTGCTTCTTCCCTCAGCTATATGACATTTGCCATTTTGATTATAAATAGTATGGGGCCAGGAATTATGAAAATTAATTTTCAATACTAGCATCTTCTTAAGCTTTCAATTCTCAAATGAGGATTAAATTCTTTTCTGTCATTATGTAATTTCACTGTAACAGGGCCCAAACCAAGGCAGTCATTTGTCAAAGACACCATGCTATTATGAATGATGACATGCCAATCATTACACAAATTCAGAGTTTCTACATCTTAACTGTGCCTGCCTTTCCCCATCCTTTAAATTTTTATCTAACTGTATTTCAAGTGTTCAGTGGGCTTTCTATGCATCATCTCTGTAATCCTTACAACAGCATTGTCAGGTAGGCCATTATTTCCATATTCTAGATGGGAAGAGGGAGCAAAGTTGACTGAATAATGACTCATCTAGAACATTTAAAAAGGGTGTAGTTGAGGTGAGCTTTGGATGGACTCATAGGGTGACAAGTCCTACTTAAGATATATCCATTGAATTGAGCAGGAGTTAAGCTAGTTATGACATTCATTTCAGCATGTCTATTCTAAGGCTTATGTTTGATTTAATCCGTAGTTCACATTCTTAGCTACCACATGATATCAGTTCTTTAATTTGTAAAGTTTACTGCACTAGTTTTAAAAATATGCTATTATTTGTATTTATTATTCTTATAATTGCTTATTTGTGTATTTGCATTATTCTATAACTCAGGAGTGCCCTCTTGTGGGCATATAAATATTCAGCCACATTTAATTGCATATTAGGAAGCATCTGAAGTGTTAGTGAATGAGTCAGGGCCTGACTAGAAGTTACGTGGATGTATGGTTCTCACCTTTCTCCTGCTAGGAGAATCTAAAATATTTATATAACACAACAACCTTGTGCTCAGCATTTTTTGAAAGCAGTTGTAACAACAGCAAGCAATACTGGTATAGGTAGGCTCACTTTTTTATATTAAATGTTACTAAGGAAAGGTGGATCTGTGATAGCTATGCTTCCTGATAGTGTAGACCAGCTCCACAGGAGGTTACAGAAGGTAAGTATACTCCAATAAAAGAGGTGACATTAAATTTGCTAACTCATACTCTTGTGAACTAATTATAAGTACGTGAGAAAAAAATGAATACATTATGAATAAGTACTAATTTCAATACATTATTGAAATTGTTCATTGATCTTTTCATCTTTTGAGTGGGGTCAAATTTATTGGGGGGATGGGGATGATTATGACTGTAGTAATGTTTGGGTCCTTGCTTCTTGTATTATAGTTCCACCAGGGAACTATATGAAACTATACTTACTGTTCTTTTGATAGCTCTGGATGCTGTCTAGTGAGAAATGTCTGGTCTCCTGCTAGGGCTACTGGCTAGATAGTGGTAACCAAATTGTTTTTATTTTGTTGCCAGATGTCATGGCCATGTTGCATCCCTCTTTCCCTCCCTTAATCAAACTCAAAATGAAACCTGTATAAATCAAGGAAGACTTCTACTAGAGTTGTGGGAGAAGCATTGACCCATGTAAAGATCCTGAAACTTCCCCTCCTCCCGCTCCTTTTAGTAAAGATTCTGACTCCACCCTCATAGATGGCAGGAAGACCAGAGAATTGGTAACTGGTCTGCTCACTTAGCCCAGCTAAACATAATAATATTTAGCCTAGCTCTAGTTTACTGATTAACACTGTCTGATGCATAATTTTCATAAATGTATTTTGGCTCAATGATAAAAATGTATTTCAGTGATATGTTTCCTGACAATTTGAATATGAATAAATTATCTATGTTAATATAAACGGTTTTCCAGAGAGCTATGCATTGTAAATTATCATTTACAGACATTAAATTTCAGAATACACTTACATCAAGAGATCCTTCATTTATGACAAGAAGCCCCATATTCTTTCTCAAGAGTTTACATGAGTGGCCTGTCAGAAAAAAAAAAAGATATGATTTGGAATTCAGATTATTCAATATCAAACTATAACATATGACGATATGAAGCAAGTTGTGACATGACAGACACTAATACAGGCAGGAAAATTGATATGTTGACACTACAATATATGCAGTGAAACTGGAAATATGGGTATATACAATCTCCTAGAAAGCCCTGTAAGTTATTAATCCAATAAAAAGTATTTTCTGTGACCATCCAAATGTGCAGCAGAAAAATAAAAAGAACTAAAAGCTTTTAATATTCTTACCATTGATAAATGTTTCAGTTGTGAATACATCATTCTTTATATCAGGGCTGCTTTAGCCATTGAAATTTTAGTTTCAGCTATTTATTTAATACTGCATATTTGAACAACTGTAGAAAACTTCCTCTGTTCGATTAACTAAAATTAATTTCAGCATTTTTTCCCCCAGGCCATTTCCTTGCCTCTGGCCATTCTTTTCCACAAGGGTAGTAGGCTGATTAAGATGGTCAGGCTTGGCACCCTAGCTTTCTCAGATATGACGAAGTAAGGTTGCTTAACTGTAACTGTTGCTCCTTGAGACAGTTACAGGTAAGCAACCTTATTCTTTGTGGTCTCTCTGCCTCACGCTTCCTGGCAAATGGTGAGCTTATCTCAAGGATGCAGGTGATAATGCTACTGAAGGATTGATGATAGGACTGCTCCAGCAAACGCACAGTCTGTTCTAGTATGAACATTGAGGTGGTAGTATTTCATGAAGGTCAATGGGTTTGACCAAGTGGTTGCACAAAGGTATACAGGTGTAGAGTGCCATGGAGGTCACCAATGCTCATATTAAGTGGGCCCATATTGGTACCACACATTGCAAGGATACCGGGAGGCCCTTTCTTTTTGCTGTCATAGCACAGAAAGTCTAGCACAGACAGCATTGGAAGGGCTAAGTTCTGGACCTGTAGAATGTTAGGGCCCTTCGGACATTGAGGGAGCGTAGCATTATCTCTATTAGGCCCAATAGTGTGGCAAAGAAGGCCAGCAGGATGATGTCTTTGTTGAGGTGGAAGGCAGAGACCACCCATGGAGAGGAAGGAGGGTTTTGCGAGGAGCACTGCTTTGTCCTTGTGAAAGATGAGCTACAGTGGGCCCACCTGCAGAGCAGCAAGGTCATTTGAGTGGTGGACCAATGTGATCGCCACTAAGAAGGCGGGTTCTCAGGAGAGCAGGTACAGGTCCACTGTAGCCATGGGTTCAAAAGGCTTTCTAATGAGGGCCTGGAGTATGACAGAGAAGCTTGAGGTCAGTGTGCAGGGCCAGATTGGTAAGGTGAAACTCTTGAGGGCCCAGAGGAATGGAGGGGTGAGGGGTAAGAGATGATGGAGTGACCCTAGATTGGAGAGTAGAATGATACAATAGTAGCTGAATAGATACAGATGGATGCCACCTTGAGTCCTTGTTGGAATAGGGAGGATTTGCTGTATGGGGAAGTTGAATGGCTCAAACCCAGGTTGCACTACGAAGTCTGAGAAGTGGAGGGTTTCAGGGCAGCCTCCTGTATAAGGCACATGTCCTCCATGCCTGTTCTCCAGGTCAGGCATGCTCAGAGCTAGAACCTGTTCTCCAGGTTATGAGGCAGTGTGCACAGACCACTGGATAGGGGATGGCTCCTTGTTTCCAAGATGTTGGGTTCATGTGAGAGGTGAATGAATGTTTTGTTGGACAGTACTAGAAGGTGGGGAACTAAGGCTGTCTGGGTCACCGTGGGGTGATGAGGGTACAGTCATTTCAGTTCTGGTGGATCTTTATTAGGACCTTTGTGACTACAGGGAATGGGGGGAAGAGGTAATGCAGTGTCCCTGACCAGGTCTGTGGGAAAGTGTTCCCCACTAAGCTTGGGTCTAACCCTGTTCAGGAGCAGAAATGCTGCCATGCAGTATTTATTTATTTAAAGTTTTTCTATGTTGTCCATTCCTAAAAGGCATATATTCAGGATTGATGAATGAGGGGCCTGTGGGCTGGAGTGAGCATCAATGAGAAATTGTCCTGGGAAGTGTGATGCCCAAGACATCTCCTTGCACATGTGGTCTCAGTCCAGGCAGGTTAGGCTTGGGTAGGCTTTTTTGAGGTATTGAGAGTCCTAAGGTAGCCTGCGGTCCTCATGGTAGTCCCAGGAGTCATACTCCCTTCTGTGAGCTGGACATAGTGACCCATTGGGTTCAAGTCTGAGGGGAGTAGTGTTACCAGTGTCCACTATGGTCAGGCCTGGCTGACGGAATTGTATGGGATCAGTGACACCTCAATCCCGAGGCAAATGGTGGAGCACACTCTGGTACTGGGAATGATGAGTCCCAGATCTTACCATGCCTGCCATCTTTGCTGCTCTCTCTCTTGGCAAGTTTACTCACGCTGGAGGTCTTCATGGAGTGGTCTGGAATTTGGGAGGGGGGATCTGAGGTGGGCTGTGCAGTCATGACAGGTGGGTTTGATGAAGACACTGGGACCTCTGAGGTTAAGGTGCATTTGGCAGGTTTTGGGAAGCCAGCCCCATGTATAGCTCTACCCTACAATTCAGAGCTGGTCAACCCTGTTTCCTCACCTGCTTAGTGACGGCCTGGCAATAATGGCAGGCTTACAACACATGGCTCCCTCCCAAGCAGAAGAGGCTTAAGAAATGGCTGTCTGTTGGCGGCAGCTTTCTGTGACAGTAGGTGCATTTCCTAAATGGAGCTGCAACTGCCATTGTGGAGCAGGAAGAGACAAGAGAAAATGAGCAGAGATAGGGAAAGAAATTCAGAGCGTTGAGAGGTCAGAGGAGGAAAGGAGATAGAAATGGGATGAATATATTATTGACTCTTTTTGAGGGAAGAAGAAATTGGTAAGGATTGCAGGGGGAAAAGGTAAAAAACAGGAGAGATAGCTATGGAAGAGCAGAGGAAGAAGTTCCCAATGAATCTACTATGGCAGTTGAAGAAGAATTTAGAATTTGGTGGGTACCAAGACTCAGGAGAGGGGTTCTTGATGAATAAATATTAGCCATAAAACTTCCCCAAAACCTGCTCCAAATGTGCAGAGATCCTATGTATGATACACAGGAACCATGAAAAAGAACTGTATCTCCTTGCAACTTGGGAGAAATTTAACTAAAAATGATGTATCTAAAGTAGTACTGATTTGTTCTTATAAAGCAACAAATGTTTAACTTTTTTACAAGTATTTACATATTTAAAATAAAAAATATTGCATACAGATTTAAGATAAACATATTACCAATGTTAATAGCAGTCTCTTGTTTATCTCCAGTAAGGATCCAAATTTTGATATCTGCTTTCATTAGAGTTTCTATTGTTTCAGGCACTTGATCTTGTAACTTATCTTCTATGGCTGTAGCTCCAAGTAATTGAAGATTCTTTGAAAAGAGCATATCAGAGTGTTACCTTTTCTGGAAAAAACCCCCTCAAATATAGCAAATAAACTTTGTATTAAACAAACTTTTACTTACAAGTATGTTATATATATTCCAGTGGCATTTATTTTTAAGCTTGTGTTTTGAATAAAGCTGGCTGTCTTGTAAGCATGATTTAGAAAAATTAATCTCCATTACCCCATTTTTTCCCTCTTGAATTTATTTTTATATATGTAGCAGGAACATGTGGTAATCAACTGAATATTTCTGCTCTTGTTAGCATTCCTGGAATTAGTCATGCAGAGAGAGCGAGAGCTCATTTTCCTTTCTGTCACTTAGGTAACCACAGCTCTTAGGGCCCATGACCAGTAGTTACATTTTTTAAGATGAAGACATGGGCAAGGAAACTGGAAAGTGTTGGCCCAGGCTGGGGAAGGGCACAGGCTTGCTTCAGGGCTAGCTACCCAGCTTATAGTAGTTGTGTAGCTGAAGATCAAAACAAACACACAGAGAACCAGGGTGTTAAGCTTATCATTTTAATCTCTCTCTCTCTGTGTTTGTTATAAAACAATACTTTGGCTATGTTAACCAAATTAGAGTACTACACCTAAACTGACCTGTCTCTCTTTAAAAAGCATTTAATCAATTTCAAAGTATGATGGTAAATTAAAAGTCTACATATTATCTGCATAAACTTTAGTGAAAAATTTGTGACAGAAAAAGAAGATATTCAAACAACATACGTCACCTACTTTTTCAATTAATTCATAACTTTCTTCAAGTTTTAGTGTTCTGTTTTGTACAGATACTGCAGCTCTTTGATAGACATTTAGCCATTCATAATAGTCATTTTCTGTAATCTCAGCAACCGCAAAACAAAGTGTTCTCAATCCTGAAAAAATAGTCACAGAATATTCAGTAAATTGTCCATCTGTTTACCGTTATGGATTAGCACCGTTATGGATTAGCACCATATAGCACCTAAAACAAATAACATGTTTTCATCAGTGTTTGCAATAGGATTTGAACAATTAAATGTTTTCAGAATCTATAAAACATGGGTCCTCAAACTACACCACTGTGCCCATTTCTCTGGCCCACCATGCCCATTTGGACCCACCGCACGTGTGCCCCCATCTTGCCGTGCATGCGGGGAGGCAGTGGTTTGCTCACTTGGAGAAAACAATCTCCAAGCGAGCAAGCCACTGCCTCGTGCATCCGCCTTGTGGTGTGTACCCACCCCCGCCTGTGCCCTGCCTGGCCTCACCCTGCCTCGCCATGCACCCCACCCCCGCTCCAGCCTGCGCACACTGCCGGCACCACCTTTCCAGCCCACACTCAGCACCGGCAGTTTTCAACTGGCCCCCTGGTGGAAATGTTTGAGGACCCCTGCTATAAAACAAGCAAAGAAACAAGTTGATGTCCAGAGAGGCTGAGATATCTAGATCCAGTTCACACTCCACAGCTCCCTTGGTTATTTAAATCATGTGTTATGACTGCATTGTGTGAGCATGTTGTCTCCTGACTGCTCAACTACTTCCACTTTGCAAAACAACTCAGGAATGTCATGTTATCCAAACTGGGCACTCTGGATTGTTGAGGGAGAAACAACCCAGAGTTTAAGATACAACCCAACAATAAATTGATTAAAACTCTGTGCTGTTTCTTCCTCAAGAATGCAGGGTGTCAGGTTCAGATATCGTGACGATTAACAGAGCAATTAGGTATTCCTGGGGTGTTTTCCATAGTGAAGCTGGTGGGACCCAGGGGATGGGAGCATAACAAAACAGTACCCTTAAAACTAAGCTAGCAAAGATTTATGCTGGAACAGAGTTTAAAAGGCAGATGCTTTGCCATTAGTTTTATTGGGTATGAGGTTAACTTTCAGTGAAACTTCCATCTTCTTCCCAGACTAAAAAGCTTCTTCAGAGTGTTCAGCTGGCAGATGAAATAATATTAAATTACTCCAAATTCTTAACAAAAAGTGTGAACGCTTTTCATTCATGGGCATATGGTGCACTTCCTGAAGAACCTGATTAAGTGTTGACATTCTATCAATTGAATTGTCAGGAAGAAGGAAGAACTGCCACACCAGAGTGTACTAACTGTAACAAAGAAATTGAGTGGAGTATTTTTTTATAGTAACTACCACCTGGTACACATTCACAGTATAACTATTATCTCAGGGGTTTTATTTGCATGGTTGACTGAAAGGTCAACAGTTCAAATCCGCAGATGGGGTGAGCTCCAGTACTCTGTCCCAGTTCTTGGCAACTTTGCAGTTCGAAAGCATGCAAATGCAAGTAGATAAAAAGGTACCACTTCGGTGGGCAGGTAACAGCGTTCCATGCACTTCGGTGTTTAGACATGCCCGCCACAGACCATGGAATCTGTCTGTTGTCAAACGCTGGCCTCCCTCTAGGAAATGGAGATGAGCACTGCCCCCAAGAGTCATACATGACTGGACTTTAATGTCATGGGGAAACCTTTACCTTTTTATTATAGATGAGTATACTAACCTTCAGTAGCAAACAACTCTAAATGTTTCAAGGTGATTTCCTTGTATCTTGAATTTTCAGCCAGGCGATCATAAATCACTGTGTCCTATAATGACATACAACATACTGAAACTAGATCTCTTTTGTATAAGCACTGAAAACAACTAAAAGAAAGTAAGAAGTGTAAGAACTTGATATCTAATTTGGAGAAAAGTATTGTAATTGATTTTGATGTACATATTGAGAGCATTTCTATATTGCTTTTCAACAAAAGGTTCAGTATAAACAAATGTCAGGGACAGGGCAGTAAGGAGAGAAAAGAAGGTGTTTTTAGAACTCTGGTATATAATAGCAGTTTTGTTTGCCTTCAAGTATAATTAAGGCAACTGTACTGGTTATGTTTACAACTATATGTGCTATTCTAGTATTGGTGTGGGTGTGTCAGTGGATTGTTCCTCTTCAAATAGGTACATTGTACTGAGGGACAATTCAGCCCATGAACATACTTAGACTGCTACTAGCATAGACAAAGCTTAAACCTATTGCATTTTTGTCACAAATCCCTTGTTTGGAGCTGCTCCATGTGATGGCAACACTGACAAAGAAGACCAGGGCATTCCCTTTATAGCAGTCTGGATGTGTAGGCTGTAGTCTTCTTCTAGAACTGGGCTGGGGAAATAAGATCCAGTGTTCCTGGTGAAAGAAGGTGCTCTAAATGCTGATGATGTTGCGAAGGTGGACCCCAGAAGCATATTTCTTAGTGTCACTGTAATACAGAATATTTTCTTTTTCCTGTGATACTAAAACATAATCCCATCCTATTTCTTGGCAAGAGAAGGTGCTCTGCACACTGAGGATCTTGAAGTGGCCTACTTTTCTTTCAGCATCCCTGGTATACAGAGTATCGCTGTCTTTTGGTAAGTTTCTGTGCAGAAGTAGGAGAGGAGACAGTAATGAATGCTGTTTTGCGATCAGGAAAAACACAGCCTTAATTTACTTGCTTGCAGCAGGCTGTATCTATCCTGGTCTTTGGCCCAAGTATGTTCAATAGGGAAGCCTTTGTTTGCACACTGCTGTGATTGATTTCTTATGAGATTTCTAATCACACACACACACACCCATATCCAGCCTCAGTGTCTCACAATACATAATAGTATTAATAAATTAGAGATGTGGCTTATATTTTAAAAACTCATATATATACTGTAATCTAATGGTTACTATCATGGACTGAAGTAATATTTTGCCTTCCAGTTCCCCTCAGTTTCTGTCCAGGATAGTTTACTTAATCTGCAAATATAACTGTTAGAATTTTTATCTATACAGTGGTACCTTGGCTCACAAACTTAATCCATTCCACGATTCTGGTTGTGACGCAAGTCAAATTTCCCCATAAGGTCCAATGTAAATAAGGTTAATCCGTTCTGTAACTATTTTTTTTAATCAGAAATTTTGAAACAAAGTGACAAAGAACAACAAAGTAACAAAGTACTGTACAGTACAGTGGAAAACACTAACCTAGGTGGGGGGGAGATTATTGTTTTGAGGGAGAGTCCCCCTCCATAAGGACATTGGGGAGATCTCTTTCAGGGGTTTCCTCTCTTTGTCTCTTAGCTGCAGGGTCAATTTTGGTGAAAAATATGTCTATAATCACTTGTTTTTTCCTGTCCTGCATAACCCTCCAGAAATAAGAGACCATGTTATTGTTCATCAGATTCAACACTCTGTTCGTTACATTTATGTTGGGGTGATGCTTTTCAAAGAAACCCTGGCATGGGTGCGCTCCTGCAGGAAAGATGAGCGCAAACTTGGCCATCTCTCCCGCCCCAACCAGCACAATCGCGGCCATCTCCCCACCCCCGAGTGGGGAGATGGCCAGGATCGCAGTTGCATTCGTGCAGGTAAGACGTGCGTGATCACGGGTGCGCTCCTGCAGGAAAGATGGGCGCAGCACAGCACAGCCGTGATCACACGTGTTCCCTGCATGAACATGACTGCGATCGTGGCCATCTCCCCACTCAGGGGTGGGGGGATGACTGTGATCTTGGTCGCCACCCAAAGTGGAGTTCGTGACCCAAGTCAAAACTTTCATGAAATTTTTGCTCGTGACCCAAGGCACCACTGTATATTAAAATGTGTTCCTATATGAAGGTTGCCAAAGATCAAAGTTTAAAAAGCCTTGCAAATACTTACATCTTTCAAAAATAATAAAATGAAAAGTGAAAAAATAAGACATTTGAAATATTAAGCCTAAATCTTTGAGAAAGCACGTAAGATCAAGCTGTTAATTAAAAGAAAACTCTAACCACGATACAGTATATCTTAGAGAAACACTCTCCACCCAGTGACATAGTTCACACAATCATCATAGGACAAACAAGCAATAGTGGCTTGCTTAGGCTACACTGTGCAACCATCAATCTCCCATGAGTTATTGAAGTTGTTTCCCTGGCAAACAAGCCATGGTGCCCAGCTTCAGATGACAGGGCAAGTCACAGTAGAGCAGACAACTGTGTAAATTGGCCCCAGCAAGCCATCTACCATGGATTAATAATACAAACAATCATTTTACCACATTATAAATGCACAGAAATCTTAACATGTGATAAGTCATTCTTATTTTATCACACACTGAAATGTATGGCAGGAAAACAACATCACATTTTCCTTACTATAGACAGTCAAGAAAAAACAAAGTAACAGAACATTACCACTTGGTAAACTGTTCATATGTATTGGGTCCATTTCTACCATATTGCTTCAAAACTTATCATTGATATGTAGTATGCACACAAATTTATAATTTAAATAAAAACTACTTACAGCCCCTTTGCAGTATAGTCTTAATTTTCCTGTAGGTGTACGGACAATCACAGACATTCTTTTCCTGGCACTAAAAGAGAGGTATTCTATTTCAAACAGGCATCAAGTGACTTAGTACGATGGGATATAACCCCTTTCAAAATAAGCCTCCATAAGATAAAACATGAACAAGGATCCAGCTTTTCTTAAAAGGAATGTTGATCAGAGAAGGCAAGTCAGGAAAAAAAGTGTTCTCTAAAGCATAAAAGGCAGGTTGCTTATCTGTAACTGTCATTCTTTGACTGGTCATCCATGTATTCACACGTATGGGCTCTGTGCCTGCACTGTTGCAGATAAAAGTTTTTGGGAGGGATGCAAGGATTCAAATGCCAGCACTCTATGTACGTCCAGCATAAGTAGACCCTGTTGGATTGGAGGGGGGTACAAAAAAAGCTAATAAAATAATATCCTGATTCAAATTAAAAGGAGATAAAACTTTGAAAAGGATCTGGGTGCAGCAGATGTGGAAGACAAGGAATGTGGGGGGGCGGGCGGGGGAGGATCCATCCATAGATTACATAATTCAACCACCCAGAGAGCTTCCGCTATGGGGTAGTGTAGAAAAAGAAATATTCACTGGAGTGTCAGACTGATGTAATTGCCACCAGAAACCTTCTAGAACAGCAGACAGAGGTTGACTCTCACCATGGGTTCAAATGGTTTTCTTGTAAGGGTTTGCAGGACAACAGAAAGGCTCCAGTTTGTTGTTAAAGAATGAGTTGGTAGAGTGACATTCTTTAGTTCTCACAGGAATAACCCACTTAACAGGTGTGATAAAACCAATGCAGCCTGGATAGGTTCATGGAAGAATGAGTTTGCTGCCAGGTAGACACAAAGGGACCATGATTTTAGGCCAGTTGAAAAAGTGTGTTCAGGAATAGGAGGACTTGTTCAACCATGTATTACATGTGGATTGAAGCCCTCCCCTGATGTGAAAGCAGGAAAAGTTTTCTACCTTACAGCGTAAGACTTCTTGGTAGGGGGTTTCAAAGCTGCATTCACTATTTCCTGAAATCCTTCTAGAAAGGTGGAATTCCATGATCTAGGGAAGGATCCTCCAAGCTGTAAGGCAAAGTTTGCCAATGTCTGTATGCAGAACTATCCCCCAGTCCCAAAAGATTAGGTCTGGTTTTGACAGGAGCTGAATGATGATTCAGTTGGTTTTTCAGCAGGCAACTGAACCAGGATGTTATGATGTAGTCCATAGTAAACTAACAAACCTCCATGATCAGCAGGAAAGGGAAGAAAAAGGTAAAAGGAAGTCCTGAGACATCAGTGATGGGACAGTATACAAAAGTTTTAAATAAATAAATAAATACTTTGCCTTTGATAACTTCAAAGATCTCCTTAATGCTGGCGGCATGGACTGACCCACAGTTAGAGCCATAGCTAGCAGCATGAGGCATAGACTAAGGTGAGGACAGAGCATTAGAAGTGGAAGAGGAGTTCAGTTCTGGTGGTTTGTTGGCATCTACCATGCAAAGCACTTTATTCCTAAGTTCTGCATGAAGGCTATCCACCCTATGCTTTCAGGTTTGTTTTGTGAAGGTCTGGCAGTGAAGGCATTCATCAACAGTATGTGCTTAGCCCAGGCAAAACAAACAAACCAAGTGTCCATCAGTCAGTGGGGATTTGCTGCCACATCTTACAAACTTTCAAAGAGGTGCCTTAGATGCCATTTGGGAAAGTAAGAATGAAAGTAGAAAAAACAGAAGGAAAATAGTGGGTATGGAGATAGACAGAGAAGACAGACAAAGGGGCTTTGTTACTTCATTTTGAAGAATGATTGACTGCTAATGGTTGGAAAACTAGAATGGATAAAAAATGAAATGAGTATGTAGGAAAAGTTCTTTTGAGAAAAAACAGAAGAGAAGAAAATGCTTGAGCACACAAAGAGAAAGAGAACTTCCCAAGCCACCAAAGAGCGCAGTTGAAGAACTGAGGGAACAGGCAAGAACTTTCCTCATACATATTGAACACCAGGGTGGTAGAGGGCTTTTCTATCCAAACATCGTCAGCTATGAAATCTTCTTGTGATGGTTAGGACCTCTAGGGTATGGAACTGGCTTCCAGGGGAGATGGTTGAAGCCTCATTGGCGAGGGTGTTTAAGGATAGGCTGGACATGCACATGGTAGGCCTGTCATGAGTAGAGTTGCTTGGAGCTGAGGGTCAGACTAGATGGCCCAGGAGTCCACTTCTGACTCACTGTTTCTATAACACCTTCAGGTACATAGCCCATATGTGTGATGCACAGACAGCATGAAGAAGAAAGTGATTCCCCCCTCCCCCACTATGTAACATCAATGTTTACAATATGTTAACAAAAATGCTCTATTTGAAGATGTTGTAAGAGCATGTATGCCATTCTTTTCTAAAGAGAAAGCAAACCAAACATTTTTAACATTTGTTTTTAAGTATTTTTTAGACTTTGCACTCTTCAACAAAAGTTCTTGCAAAGAGAATTCCATTCAAGTGATGACAAGAGATTTCCCCTGGTAACTCTTTCCTCCTGCATTCCCCTGAAAAAGTGCTCCACGAGTTGGGTTACCCGCTGGAATAGTGCAGGTGGTAGCAAGGGGAGGGGCTGACCCAGTAATTTATCAAGCATAGAAAGTATGACTCATAGTGTTCAGACTTGTTCTAGCTTACAAAGGAAATAACAGTTATTTTCAAGGTTTACATTAAATTCATGTTTTAATTACCTTGTAAATTCTAGCACATTTAGCAATTCGTATCTTTCTTCCTGTCCAAGCTAGAAAAAATGAGATATTGTTTAATATATTATTTTTAAATGTTTTTCAATTGTATTTTTTATTTATAGTAAACTACTAGTAATAACGACTAACCTATTACATTTTAGATGTACTTACTGATTCTATAATTACAGAGTCTGGTGTTCTTCCAGTGAAAACAAACTGAAGATGTTTGGCTGCTCTAACCAATGCGCCTTCATCTGTAACAAAACATTCTGTTATTTCAATGGCAAACTGAGGGAAATGTTAAAACCAAGAATTTTAATACTTTTATATACTCTCTGGAAGTAACAGGAAGCAGCAAATTTGCAAACATCAAGCAAGCTTATAAATGAAGCTTTTATTGTGTAATCATCTGTCTTATGCAGGGAATTTTACTGGAAAGTTGCGGGAGATGTTTAATATCATCTTCAACTTGTAACCCTCCCATCTTTCTCCATTGTGCTTTTTCTTTTTTCTTTTTCTTTCCACAAACAAATGTGCTTATAATTAACATTCATGGTTTTTTGTAGCCTCTTCCTACTTAAATTACTTAGTTTTCCTTTTACTCTTAATTATTTACTTAAAAGGAAATTCTGTTACAGCAATAAAGAAAAGTATTTCCTCATGAGGCTGGGGGATCATATGAACTGATTTTGATGCTTTGCTTCACATCTCCCAGGAGATGGGCACATTGTGCACACATAGGGTGAAAGGGAGGAATGTTGGATAGGAACCTCTATCTGTAACAGACTTCTACAGAGAAAATCTGTTGGGTAAATAGATACAAATACTTTGCTATCTATCTTGTTCTATTCAAGTGAGATTGCATGTAAAATCTCTCCTTTACTGTAGGCTTGCTTATTTATGACAAGAAAGAATGATCTCTGTGTAATCACATGAGCCATCAGTGTTCAGGGGACAGTGTCCTGCATGCCATTGTTGTAACACTGTCCTGTATCTACAACATTTGCAATATGATCAATTCAAGTGTTGCTCTCTTTTATTCACTCCCAAAACTATGACCGGTAAAGTCATTACAAATTAACTTGTATATAGCACTTCTTTAAAAATCTTGAAAATACTATAGAAAAAAGGCCTTCAAACTACACTAATAGTGGGCATATTCACATAACGTAACAGGCTACCACAGATCAACTTACCCACAGGAACTGTTGGGTTGTGACAGAAACCCATGGCCTGCAGGTGCCTAGCCTCCCAAGGCTTGTCACATCTTGCAAACCCAGGCAGCAGGGGCCGTTTGAGAATTAAACAAGCCTCTAATGACTTCAAGGCAGCCGTGGGTTATTTGAGGGTTGTCCAAGTCTCAAATGAACCCCGTTGCCTGGGTTCACATAACATGATAAATCATTGCAAAAGAGGTGGGCATGGTTATGCAACCCAGAAGACCAGCTCCTGTGGGTAAATTAAGCTATGACACAGTGGGCTAGTGTGTCATATGAACAGGTTCAGTCAGTATTTTCAACAGGAATGCAATGGTTTAGTAATTAATAATTAATTTAAAGCAATACCAACAAATTCTTAACTCCTACCTGGAGATGCTGCTTGATAAATTAACTTATCATCCTCTCTTTCTGGAACTGCTGTATGGCACACTGCCATCATGGTTAAAAACTCACAAATTATAGGTGCAGTTGGCTAAAATAAAAAAGAGTAGAACAAATTATCCTTTATTTCTAAATTAAATATTTTACATATATATGACTAAGTGAAAGTAACAACAAAATTAATTATTACATTAAAATATTATCTTTTATTAGACATATAACCGGTTTTATAGTTAGGCAATCCTAGAAGGCCATGCCAGGTAATTGGCAGCTCATGAAACGCAGAAGAGGAAGAAGATATGACAGCTTGCAGAAGTGTACACACTCTCCTTTGATTTTTCTGCATTTGTTGTTACAACCTGGAACTGAAAACAATTTGATGTACACACAATTCTCAACACTGTGAAGGTGAAAGTGTTTTTATTGTGGCCAAAGAGCTGGGTAAATAAGACTGGCACTTGTTCATTGCATAAGTATTCACTCCCCTGAGTCAGTACTTGGGATATGTTGCTTTGGTAGCAATGACAGTTGCAAGTCTTGTTGCTAAGTCTTTATTAGTATTGTGCATCTGGATCCTGCAATATTTGCCCACTCTTCCTGGCAAAACTACTTCAGCTCTGTCAGAATGGATGGGGATCATGGGTGAACAACAGCTTTCAAGTCTGGCTATAGATTTGTAATTAGATTTTGCTCAGGGCTTTGACTGGGCCATTGTAAGACATTCTGGATATCCCCTGAAGATGGTTTAGAGCAGGTGGTGCAGAATGTGGCAACCAGATTATTAACTGGGACCAGGAGGTCCAAGCATGTAAGACCAGTTCTGGCCCACCTGCATTGGCTGCCTGTATGCTTCTGGTCCCAATTCAAGGTGCTAGTCTTAACCTATAAAGCCCTACATGGTTTGGGACCACCTCTCCCAACCCCGATATACCCAGACACTATATACAGCCTCTGGGGCCTTCCTCCATGTGCCAACCCCTTAAGTTGCTCAGACGGTGGAAGCTAAGGGGAGAGCCTTTTTGGTGGTGGCCCCTCATCTTTGGAATAACCTTCCTGCTGTGGCCCACTTCGCGCCAAATTTGCCATCTTTCTGGTGCCAGGTCAAGACAGCTCTCTTCAGGGGACTGACGCAATTAGCCAGGTACCTTTTACTCTTGCCTTGTCTTTTTGTGTTTTTATAGTTTTAATGTTTCACATTATTTTGAATTAGTTTTTAATTCTTGTTGTTTTTATCTATTGTATTTTATTATTTTTGCACCATGTTTTAAGCCATCCAGAGAGCTTTAGCAACAGGCAGTATAGAAATGTAATTGTTAATAATACTCTTCCATAAGGTCTAGTTTTATGGGGTGCCCAAGTAATCATTGTCCCATGCACAGTTTCTCCCATTTCAGTTGCAGATCTCTCCAACCCCTTCAACTGGCATCTTGGTTACTTCTCTGACTGATGCCCTCCTTACACAGTGACTGAGTTTTGGTGAATGGACATTTCAGTCAAAGCTAGGCCATCATCTATTTTATAATAATGGATTTAACAGTGCCCCAAGGAATGTTCATTGTTTGGGATATATTTTCATAATCTGACTGGTGCTTCTGCACAACTTCATCCCAAAGCACTTTTGATGACTTACTGGTTTTCACAACGCTCTTTGCGTAGATACTATTCAACAAACTCTGGGACCTCCCAGAAACACATACGTTTAGTCTGAGATCATGTGGCACTGCGATTGCACACAGGTGGATTCCATTCATCATTTATACTGCCTTTGGAGGTAGCAACTTGCACCTTAGCTTAATGAAGCATGTCACAGCAAAACGGAGGAATGATCATGCAACCAACAAGTAACAGTCTGTTTTTAACTTTTGTCACAAGAAAACTTATTTTGCACCTTCACAATGTTGAGTATTTTGTGTACATCCAATGGTAACAATGTCAATTAAATCCACTTCTATTCCAGGTTCTACCACAACAAAATGGGGAAAAGTCAAAGGAAGGTGAAATGTTTCTGTTAGGTACTGTACATTAAATGTAATAATAAAATTGAAATAATAAACCAGGGGGTCCTCAAACTTTTTTCAACAGGGAGCCAGTTGAAAGCTGGTGGCAGCGGGTGTGACAAGTCCAAAGCCTCTGAGGTGGGTTGGTTAAATGGGCATGGTGGGCTGGATCTGGCCCGTGGGCCGTAGTTTGAGGACCCATGTACCTTAAAATACAATCAAGGTGAAAAAGTCCCTGTTCACTGCATTTCTCTAGGCAATAGTGCTCAATGTGCAAGATCATCTTCTCTAACTATTATACTGTATTAAAACATTATTCTAATTCCACAGTATATTGCAATATATGGAGGCAACAAGATTTCTAACAGTATTCAATAATACAAGATTTTCAAAATTGATACCTATTTGAAAAACAATACATGAAAATACACATTCCACTTTTATTCCCAGCATTCTGAAGACATGAAGAAATGGAGGTATAAATCTATGTCGGATTCTTTGTTTTTTCTATGACCAGAAGAACATGCAACTCATGTTCCTTAGGGTCAAGAAATGACTATGAAGTATGGTGTTTAATTCCTTTTCTTCTGATCAGTTTTGCACAGAAACTCTGCTCTTCAGCTGTTCTACCATCCACCACTGCTGGCTACCAGTGGCATGTTAGGAGGAGCAGGGAGGGAGCTCCTCTCCCAAATGCACATGCTTCTGCAACAAAATTAGCTGTGAGGGTTTTATTACATGTGTTTTCTACAATTTTCATTTAAGTCCTTATGTAAAAGTAAATATTATTTAAATTAATGGGGATTTATTCCATGTACATGCAATTGGGATGTACGTTTGTTTCTACATGTGGTGCATTCCTTTTATTTTACTGAAAGCTTCCTTTCTTCTTCTCATAACATTTACATATTTATTTCTGTATCTTACATGTTTGTTTTGGAGATTTTCCAGTAAAGATGGATCACTAAACATTTTATCCTCTTTGGCTTCAGAACTCTGCCTAAAAAGAAATAAATAAAAAATGAAAGTGCAACAATGTAATATGTATCTAATAATTTATCTCAATATTTATCTAACATGATATTTATGTGACAATAGTTCTCCTGGTCCATATATTATAATGAGGTCATAATTTATAATTATGTCATGTTAGAATTACTATATAAGACTGCATTCCATATTTATGAAGGCTTTCTGCAATTTTAATTCTTCATTTGAGCCCTTATTTATATATGTTCAACCTACTTGCACACAAAAAATATACTAAAGTAGGTTCAGGATAGGTATTTTACATGAAAAAAACCAGGCATAATAAAACCAGAGGCAATTGTGCAATTAATTGTTAGTTAACACCTATTATTTTATGATTGCAATATCAATTCATGATTTTTATGTGTGAATAACCATCACAAAACAACCGCTGAAAGCACAACAGGAAAACACATGTGTTACTTACAAACTTTGACACTATATTTGGAGTTTCTGGGAACTCCTTTGTAGGCATCATATATCAATGTCACTATGCAATTTCAAAAGTAGTTCCATAGTTAATAATAGCAATAGATAATATGAGTGTTAAACAAGGAACGCTACAAGAAGGTTAGTTCTTACCAATCATCTGCAGAATAGCCATAATCCTCTGATTCAGGAGAATGGCTGTATGAAAAGCAAAGGAGGTAAAGAAATGCAGGAATATAGCTAAGAAAGTTAGTATTTATTAGATTTATAACCCCTCCTTCTTTCTTTACAACATCATTCTCCTCCTGCTGCTCTCAATCTTATCCCCACAAGCAAAATCTGTGACTGGCCCAAATCCACTCAGGTGGCTCCATGGGTAAAAAGGGACTAGAACTCAAACCACCTGAGCCCCAGTCCTGTGTTCTTAACCGCCATACCACACTGGGTTTGTATTTTGTTCGTGTAAAAAGAGGACTACCCTATGGATGCCCTCATTAGGATAGAGGACTTACCTTTTGCAACCTCAGAAAAACAGTTTTAAAAAAGCTATGACGAACACAAAACATGCTCACAGTGACTGCAGCCGGGGGGGGGGGGGGGAACTGTGATACTCCTGTGGCCTAACCCATGATACCTGCAGGAGGACCATGGTGGTGAGAGGAATGACTCACAATGTGCCTGTCTGTTGAGCATGGGGTCTAAAGCAAACAAGCCACACTCATGGCTTGTTCCACACTGTGGTTTGCTGAATTATGTGAACCCATCCATACTTTGCAATACATTTCACTGAACTCCTATATTTATTTATTTATTTAGAAAATTTCTATGCCACCCCATTCGCTGAAGCCTCGGGGCAGCTCACAGCACAAATCAATTGAAATAATATAAATTAACAATATAAAATAAGTTAACAATATAAAATAAGTATCATAGGTTTTTGGTCCTTTTAACTGCATTTAGGGTTTAATTACTAAAGATATGTTCCAAAGTGAATTCATGATTAAAATCCTGATTTTATTGAAGTCCTAAATGTATTATAAAAGCACCTTTCACGAAGAAAGAGTATAAGCCCAACAATTATTTTTTAAAAAACTTACCCATAAGCTATTCCTGCAATAGTACACTTCTTAAATTGCATTACATTGCAGGTCAGGGTACCAGTTTTGTCAGAAAAGATGTATTTGACCTAAACAAATGTTAAAGCCCATAAATTTAGTTTTCATTAAGCATACATTAGTATTATCTGAATATTTTTGCACTGATAAAATATATTTCAGCAAATTGTATAAATTAGGATTGTCACATGTTTAAACAACCTCAGCAAGAAAATCATTTCACTTCTGGCTAGACTTGATGTTTCTTCTGTAGTATGTCCCCTTTACTGTTAGGCTAACACAACTCTCCTGTCTCATTTCCACTGCTGTGGACTGTTCTACAGGTGCTGTTACTTTCTATAGGGGCCTATGTGCACCCAATTCAAAGCATACTACACCAGCAATAGGCATTACCTTTTGGGCAGCAGGCACATTTTTCAGTTTCTTGGGGGCAGGTGGACACACACTTTCCCCCTAACACACTTTCCTTCACCTCCTCCTCCAGAGGCAGATCAAGTGTCTTGGGTAGATGTGGGGGGAGGGTGCACTTCCATTTGCTACATGTTTAGGAGTATTGCCATGTACTGTCTTTCCTGCTCATGTATCTATCAGTTTTCAAATAATTACTGTATATTTATTTTATTTTTGAAATTAACTTCTCTATACTTAAAAATATACTAAGTACATTTGTAATGACACATTTTCATTTTGCTTGTACAATTTCAAATAGTAGCAGTATTATTGTTTGTAATTACAAGTTTACACTTCATTTTTATGCTACTGCCTTCAAAGAAGATTTCTAAATCTAAATTTCAAAATAAAATAGGCCAAAAAAGTAAAATAAAATATTGGATATATGCAATTACACACTTCATAAAGAATTCTACACAGAAAACATGAAGACAAATATTGAACTTCAATTACCTCTGTTGTTTCTATTCTCAGATCAAACACTTAGAATATGAAACATAAAAAAATTATAGTAGAGTCACATTTTAAAAATCCACACAGCAAGCCCTAACATCCAGATGAGTAATGTATCTTGAAGAGCCACCCAACAAATCATTTTGAAAACTTAAGAATTCCAAAACTTGTGATGCAGAATAGGCATGTGCAAGGAATCTGTTTGGAGGAGGGAATCCATTTTGTGGCAGCTGAGTTTGATTTCCTGCCAAGCACACTGAGTGTTCACAGAGTGCTTGCCAGGAATTGAGCCCCATGCACTGAGCGAGCAGCACCCCTCTCCTGAGCCTGGTGCTGCTGACCCCAGCACTGGCTGTAGAAGAAGGTAAGTCACCAGGAATGCTGCATAGCACAACGGCTTGCAGCAACCCTCCTCAGTGTCCTGCAGCTGCTCTTTGAGTGGCTGCATCTAATGAGGAAGGTTGCTGATTGTAGACTTCTTAAGTTGACATGTTCTGCAGAACTGGGTTGAGCTCAAGAGCAAGTCTGTGTACGCTAGAGGAACGGATTCCAAGAGGGTTCATCCAAACCCTGAAATAGAATGGGGTCTTCTATTACTAGTCAAAAGTTTGTTTGGATGCATAAAGACCATAGGCATGCCTGAAGTAATTCTTTATAGCAGTCAGTTTATATATGGCTGTAAACAAGCTTAAAGCCACTTAGGAGTACTTCTCAGATTGTACATGTATGGAGAAAAATCTATGTTACCGGGTGTCAGATATAAATTGAGGTACCCAGCTATATTTATTATGATCTGGCAGAGATCTCTATTCTATTTCCTGAATAGAGAGATAAATTATTATCTTGCTCTAGTGTCTTACTTTTGTTTCTACTCTGCCTGCAAAATAACTCAGAAAAAATAATCAAGTGATAAAATAATGGACTCAACTGTTAATTTTGATCTTGAAGAGAAGGAAAGCAGCTAGCATTAGGATAAGCACTTCCTTCTAGATGAGAAAGCAGAAAGTCTCATTTTACGTCTAGAGGATGAGAGGCTTCTGCCCTCAATCCTCAAACACTGTTGTTTGCAAAAGTAGTTGCACTGAATGAGCATAAACGACAAAGTAAACCAAAATATAAAACCAAACAAAAATGTCATTTAAGCATGCTATTTGCTTCACAGCAGAGAGACAAAGACTTCAGTCATAAACTTCTGTGTACTGCAGGTTTCTCCACTCCTTGGAAAAATTCTTGTGGACCCCCATGCTGGTGTGTTTTTGAAAGAGATTTCAGAGTTTAGGATACATAGAATATAGTTAAAACAGGCTCTTTGCCTTCTAGGCAAAATACCTAAGAACCTGCATGTTTGTCATAAAGATCACTTAATGCTTCACATAATGTTTAGTATTTACAGAAAAAATCCATTCAAAAAGTTATAAAAATAGGCAAAACAACCTACCTGGCCAAGTTCTTCATTGAGATTGGATGTGCGAGCCATCGCAGCAGTGTCTGTAGGTTCATAATGCATATCAATATCCTAACAAAAGAAAAAGGCAGCATTTTAATAAGTTAATCACTCATTATTAAAGTTTATATGGCTTGTATACATATTACATGGAAGTCCATTGTTTGCAAATTAACTTGTGTAAATGCTTTAGTCAACATTTACAACACCAAGAACACACTGATATCACTTAGCAAAAAAGTCATCTGGATCTGTTCAAGCCCTTCAGGGCATCTGAACTTGCTGTATCAATAGATACCTGGAGTAGATATCTAACTTTTTCCTTTAAATGGCACACCCTTTTGCCGTATCAGAAGCACTTTTGAAACTCCTTCAGAAGTATGAAAAGAGTCGCATGGATCCATGTCATACTATAAATGTGTAATGTGGAGAAATTGGAGAAATTCTCCAACTGTACTAAGCTGGAGGAATTTCTAGCTGCTGTTTCTGTCAAGGCCCTAGTCTTACTGTGGAACTGTGAGATAGAGAACACTATCTGGTCAGCTATCTGTTATTCAGAGGAGATACAGGCAATGAAGTAATCAAACAGTGATGAGAGCACTTTATCATCAGTTGTTGTTAAAGCCTGATGTGGACAGCCAAAAGGCTTGCAACATTGAGCTGGGGAGCATGATTGACTAGATAGGTCCAAGAAGTGGTAAATACCTTTTGGAGGATGAGGTGGCATCAATAGCCTTGAAAGTTGTTGTGATATATCCAATCCTGAAAAAACCCTCCCCAAATCTGGATGTTTCTGAGAATTACTGTCCTCTCACAAATATCCCTTCTGAGCAAGTTCCTTGAGAACATGCATAGCTCCAGGACCACTCAGAGAAAGTAGACTGACTTGTCCCATTTCAATTTGACTTCAGGCCAGGATTTGGCACTAAAACTCTCCTGGTCACCCTCGCTTAAGTTCTTTTCCCAGAAAGCGACATGGAGGCTGATTCGCCTAGACCTTCCAGAAGATTTGATATTGACAGTTAAGATATTTTGCTCCATCAACTTCGTGGACTAGGAACTGGGGGCATGGTAAAATATTGTTTCCTTTCCCATCTGGGGGACTTCTACCTCATCATATGGCAAATGTGCTAAGATGTCCCACAGGAGTCTAGTCTGTCCTCCAAACTCTTTAACATTTTCTTCAGCTAAGTCTTCTCCCAAAAGATGATATATGACCTTGCTGATGGCGGGGAAGTACAAACTGAAGGAGCCAGATGGCAGCTCATGATTGACAGGCAATTAATTAATAATTGTATTGAATGAGTTCAAATCTCCAGGGCCTGATGAATTCCATTTTAGAGTCATAAAGGAGAGGTGGACGGGCCAACAGATGAAATGCCACTTGCTCCTCCACAAGTTGAGCATATATATAGGGCATGGTGATTTGAATACGGCTGAAGAAGTGCTGGTTTCTGAGGTTTCAGTGGGTCAAAAAGACCATAGGAATTATAAAAGTACAGGAGAAACAGTGCTTCCTTTGCACAATATGCATTAAATCTCAAATTTCACACTGGTATGTGAAATGGATTGTCTATTGAGGTGGTAGCAACCTACAGTTAAGATCCTATAGGTTGCTACCTTAGCACAGTGGCTCATAAGGCTGAGTTGTAAGAAATGTCATCAATTTATAAAACTGAAAATCTTTACAATTATGTTAGAAAAAAATGTATGATTTAGATTTTACAGAATATTTCATCTTGCAGTTAAATCTGTATTACCATAATGAAATATAACTTTTCATAAAATGGAAAGAGAGATAATTTATTTTTGAAATCACTCATTTAAAGGTCTGCAAAAATATATTAATGCGCCTATTTACCCAATTTATGAAATATGCTTGAATAAATTTAACCACTTCTAGTGTAACCAACAAACTGATTGGAATGAGGTTATTGAAGAGAATTATAAAAGTCAGGAAATTCAGTCCAAAATTACTAGCACCACCATCTGTGAAAAAAGAAAGAAAAAGGAACAAAGTAAGTGAGAGCAATGCTTTTAACAGACTGTTTAACATACGGTTCCTCAGCTGTTTTGGGACCTTGGGCACATTTGGATAATAGATAAACTGCTGTGAACACCACCAAAATATGGCTCCCACAGAGGCTGTGGCAAGTCACATCACAGCTGCCATGGAACTCTGGATGGCAAAAAGATGTATGTGGGAGAAATAACAAGGCTACAGGCTTGGTAGGGAAAACAGCAAGGTAAGGGTTGAAAGGAAAGAAAAAGCAAGGATAGAGCTTAGGAGTGGGAAGAAACAAGATTAAGTAGTGGGAAGAAAAAAATAGTGAGGGTAGAGGAGGGGACTGGAGAAAAACAAGGTAACTGGGTATGTGGGAGAGAAAGATCAAGGCTAGCTGTTAGGAAGAGAGAGAAAGAAGGAGGTCTGGGGAAGGAAGAGAAATGGTGAGAGAAGACACAAGCTGGAAGTAACTCTTTTTCTTCCTCCCTACTAAACTGGTCAGCAGCAAGTTCAGGAACAGGAAGAAGCTGGTGCCCTGTTTTTCCAGTTTTTTATTAATCATAACATTTGAAAGAGGCAAGGGGTGGAGAATTTTGTGAGCTCTTTGTGGGCACCATGTCACCTATAGGTGCTGTGTCAAGTGCTCCAATCTAACAGGTGGCATTCTGAAGGCTGAGTACATTTTAAAAATAAGATTTAAACCACTTTTTCCTTGCCAGCCTCCCCTCCAGACAATACTTCAAGTAGTCAATAATGAAAAGTTCGATGTAAAATCTTTTGTCAATATAAACAAAAATACCGTATTGGAAAGAGTTATTAATTCAAGGATATAATAAACATTCATCTTATTTTGTGAATATAACTTAACTTTAATATCACTGAAAACAAACATAACAGTTATTCTGGTGCTTACAATTTAGATTGATATACCAATCCCTCTCCTCATGTTTTTGATTCCATATAACTGAACCAATGGAACAAATCAATGATATAGCAATAAGAATGCAGAACAAAAACAGAATTTGAATGTTTGTAATTCTTTCCACATTAGACAGTTTAAGAGGTGGGCTTGTTGAGTTCTGTGGATGAAATAAAGAAAGTACACAAGTAAGATAATCATGCACACATGATTTTGGTGCTGTGCTTTCTAACTAAATGTTCCTATTTCTATAGGTAGTAGTACCTATCAAAGACAGTTAAACATGCAGCATACCCCACAAGTTCTTGAAAAAGAAAGCAACATTTTGCCTATTCAGTACACGCTAATGAAGATATACAACAAGCAAATAATTTTACTATAGCTTGCTTAGGGCACAATCCTATGGCTGCTAGTTGTTAGGGCTCCAACCATGTCCTCCCTCTGTCCTTGCAGCTTACATGGTTCTTTCCATACCCACTGAGGTTCTGAAATCACAAATGCCACTTCAGAGCTGGCACTGGGGGGGGGGGAATTCTGGGGAGGGAGGTTGCAGAGATGAGAAGTTAGGCTCCACTGAGATCACAGCAGTGCCTCAGCCACTCCTCCTCATGAGCAGGTGCAAAATACATTCACAGCCAAAGCTGACTATGTTTTTTGGAAGCAAAGAGAAATACAGAGGTAATCCTTAGCACCATGCTCTTTATATGCTCAACTGGATGCCCATAACCCTCTGAGTTCAGAGGGTCATGGACAGTCACATTGGATGATGCTCTTAAAAGACGTTTTAACCATGGATTTATAACTGAGAATAAAACAAATCTAGAACAGTGTCTCTTGATCTATTTTAAATGGTACAATTAATGTCATAAATACTGGCTGCATGTGCAAAATTATTACTCATGAACTAGAATATCCAAATGAAAATTCAAGATTAAAATACTCATATGGCAAACCTGCATGAGTTTTGTATCATGTCCTGTGTAAACAATTATTCCATGAACCCACTGTGTATTTCTTAGCTGAGCTCCACGCAGAAGTATCTGATCAGGTCCCAGTGGAACAGTGCTAAAGGAAATAAAATGAAAAATAAGTTTAGAGTAATTAAGGGACAAACTATTAGTATTGCTTCAGTTTTTGATCCCTTTCTCATCTTGAATTATTAGAATACAAATATGGAAAAAATAAAGAAGCAGAGGAAAATGGTATACTCCTTTCTAGACAGAAAATCCATGAGACCATTACTTATTGGATTTGTACGCAACTTACTGTGAAATAACAAAAATTAAAAAAAAAACACCTCTTGAAGTAGCTAACAAAATAGTAATATTATTTCCTCTTGTTATATGCCATAAAGTAATTTCCAACTTATGGCAACCCTATGAATGAATGCCATCTGTATTATCTTGTCCTTGACAGCCCTGCTCAGCTCTTATAAACTCAAGCCTGTGGTTTCCCTTATGGAACTGATCCACCTAATAGATGTCTTCCACTTCTGTCTTCAACTTTCCCTAGCATCATTGTCTTCTCCAGTGAGTCTTGCCTTCATGAGAAATGCCTGAAGTAAGACAGCCTCAGTTTCATTACTTTTGCGTCCAGGACAAATCCTGGTTTCATTTGAACTAGGGCTCACTGCATCCCATAGGCAGAATGCTAAGAACTATGAGGATTCAAGAAACTATCCGCAAAAACAAACCATTTCCCATATATGAGAAGGACAGAAGTTTACCGGGTAAAAATTTCAATTTCCCCCCTTGTAGATGGAGGACATTCCTAGTTCACAATAAACAAAAAAACTGCTAAATAAATCTGTACATCCTAGGGTGGGAAAATCTCATGCCCAGTAGAATCAAAAATCCTAGGTCTTAATAGCAAACAATATGCTACAGCCAAATGATGCCTGGCAGATGCAAAGGCATCACTTTTTTTAATGCCGCATAAAGACAAGAACAATTGTGCACATAGCAGCTCTATAGATTCCTTCAATGGGTAACATTTCCTAGAAGGTTGCAAAGGTTGCTACATCTTCAATGGAGGGAGTTAGTACATTTCTAGGGGAAGAATAAGCAACGACCATGCATCCTTTCCACCAGTGTAAAAATGTACTCACATATATTACCCCACTAAAATAAGAGTTTAAAAAGAAAATGAAGACTGCTGTAAGTTCTGACCTAGGGGTCTACTAGAGGTCATATAGAACTTGAGAGCACAGCACATACCCAAAAGTGCCATTCTTATCAATTTCCACCCATGCTATATCAAAATCTTATATAGAATTGGAGAAAGTGGTCACAAGTGGAATGCATCATGGTATTTAATAATATATAATGATGAATGATATCCAAAATTCTACAGATGATATTAGTTATTTGGCCAGATGGAATGCTAATAGATCTATAGAGATCCTTCCCTATAGCTCAAAAGCCATGGCAGGAACCAAGGCTTCTGAGCTCTTGTTGCCCTTACAAAGGGAGCAAAGAACAAAGAAAAGAAGAGAGATGGTATTTGGAAATGAAGTTTTGGAAACTGCTTTCATTTGTCTTTATAAAACACTTCATTCCCACTTTAATAAAATTATTGAACCAGAGTAATTAGAAATTATGAGAAGCAAAACAAAAAAATCTTCCACCCTCTCTACAGCAGGAACAGACACTTGTTGGGTAATCTTTGCCCAATAAGAAGTCTTTTTCAAGTCTGCTTTTCTAGTATATAAGGTGCGACCTAATGCATCTAAGAATGTCCCTCAAATATAGGAGGGAACAACTGCACTCCCATCTTTTATTTAAATTAATTAACTTAGCAAATCAAAGAATAAGACATTGTTTCCTTACTGGAAACTGAAGTGTGGATCTATTATAATT